TTCATTAAGTCATAAGGACAGAGTTTGAGGAAAAGGTCCCTATCCTGGTAGATCATGTCATTATAGAAATCTTAAAGAAACATTGACCTAAGGCAGGGGTAGGCAACCTTGGCTCTTTTATGACTTGTGGACTTGGCATGGCTGGCTCAGGAATTCTGGGAGTTGAAGTCCACGAGTCATAAAAAGAGCCAAGGTTGCCTACTCCTGACCGAAGGTATCACTAGAAAGAGATGGTTTAGTTTTGAAACATTTAAACATACCTAACACTTGTTCAAACTTCATCAGGAGAACCTCACGTTGATGGAGAACCAGGTGATTTGCGCTTCCGAATAAAAGTTCTTAAGTAAGTCTCTCTGCTTTATGAAATAATTTACCAATTTTTTTTCTGCATTAGCTATCAATGAACACACTTGCTTTAGTGGTACTAGCAATTACATATTTTTGCTTGAAAAATACTACGCACTCGTAAAGGCTTTGGTGGGCAGATGCTCCAACTGTAAGATTAATCCTTTGAGGCAAGAAGTGCATAGAGCAGGGATAGGCAACCTCGGCTCTTTTATGACTCGTGGACTTCAACTCCCAGAATTCCTGAGCCAGCATAGCTGACTCAGGAATTCTGGGAGTTAAAGTCCACGAGTCATAAAAGAGCCGAGGTTGCCTACTCCTGGAGTAGAACATTAAAAGCATTTACTTCTAGGAAACAGTAGGGGTCTGAAGCAGACTAAACCTTTCTCAACTGTTACCAAAGACTAGGTGAGTCAAGTTGTTTCTGGAAAAAATATCTGCACTGAATATCTAAAGATGATTTCAGAGGAAATGCACAAAGAGTTGCTGTGAAGATCTAAAAGTTTTTTCTATGCCATATTATGACAGATACAGAGATATTTTATACATATCTAAATGCTAGTATGTAAAATTAGAATTAATATCCCTATGGTGTTAGGACAAAGGCTAATTTACTTCTAATCATGATGCAAGAATACTATGCATGACTGTAGTCACTCAAATTTCAAAATGATTTAAATGGATTTCTTCAGAAGATTAATACATAATTTCCAATTTGTCAGTATTTTTAAATTATAATATTTTTTTAATTTAACATGCTGTAAAATGAATGAATTTGCCATGGCAGATGAATTAAGAAATAAAAATATTAATATTCTAATATGTTGACTACAGGCATCCAGTTTTTGAAAGAAGAGGAGATGATTTATATACAAATGTGACTATCTCACTTGTGGAAGCTCTTATTGGATTTGAAATGGATATTGCTCATTTAGATGGACATAAGGTAAGGTAGAAGATTCCTTTGTCTGAAAACATTTTCAAAGAATCCCTTTGTATCCATAATACACATGTTGGCACTAAGATATAATATTGACATTATGATTCTTTTTGGTAAAATACTTCTCATGTAAAAATGTTAATCCTATTGAAAATTGTCAATGTGTTTTGTTTTTGTTTTTTGGTTAGGTCCATATTGCCCGGGATAAAATCACAAAACCTGGAGCCAAGCTGTGGAAGAAGGGAGAAGGTCTTCCAAACTTTGATAACAATAACATCAAAGGCTCTCTCATCATTACATTTGATATTGAATTTCCAAAAGAACAATTGACTGGAGAACAGCGAGAAAGTATGTATAGTAGTACCGTAATGATAACTCAGAAAGAACATTGACTTATTAAATTCATTACCTTGGTTGTCAACATATTAATGCTCAGAATATAGGAATGTAGGAATCAGGTTACAACCTGTACAAAAAAGGCAGAAATAACAGAAAGTGACAGAAGGAGTTGCATCCATGCCTCCTCATCAAAAAATAAATCAAGAAACCAAACAACAGTACTTTTGCTGGTGTTAATTGTCACCTGCTAAACAAAGAGAAGGTAGGAATAATGCTTTCCTAAAGCAAACTGCAATTTTTTAAGGAGGCATAAAATATAAGCTGCCCTCTAAATGTAATTAAATAGGGTGCAATGGCTCAGCAGTTAAGATGATGAGTGAGCATGTCAGCTGGAAAGCTGACAGCCACTTCAAGACTTGAGCGCACACAACGGGGTGAGCTCCTGTTACTTGCCCCAGTTCCTGCCAACCTAGCAGTTTGAAAACATGTAAATGCAAGTAGACAACTGGGTACTACTTCAGTAGGAAGGTAACAGCATTCCATGCGCCTCAGCATATAATTATGCTGGCCACATGACCACAGAAAAGTCTTTGGACGATGCTGGCTCTCTTGGCTAAGAAATGGGGATGAGCACCACCCCCTATGGAGATAACTGGACATACCTTTACCTTTAAATTCAATAGCTAGCAGCAATGGGGTCTTTAATTACCCTTACATCTTTTGGTAAAGAAACCCGGAGGAAAGTTTCTGACATCTCTTAACTGACAATTTTCTAATTTAAGGAATGGAAAAAAGCACTAAAATTAGGGTAATCGTCTTACTATGTTTTTGATGCTAACTAATTGAGAAGATTGAGTTGATGAAGTAGAAGCAGAAGGAACATTGTAGGGAAGTGAACATGCTGGCTCTCTTTGTCGTTCTTAGCATAAAAAAAACATTTTAAGGTTAAATGTAGTCAAATAGAAATACCGGACATCAAGAAAACGGGTTTTAATGAATTCATCAAGAACAAATGGTATTCCATGTCAGAAGCTAATAAGATGAAAACAGTAGAAGACTCATTCCAAACTCATTCCAAAACCTTACAGTTTTGGTTTAAAGATGCTAAGAACCACAAAAATAACTGTTTTGAAACAAAGTAGATTTATTTATTAAATTATGCAGCCCCATAACATATACTTTTAAAAACAGTTCATTGTAGCATATTAAGAGATCTGTGTCAGATCTCTTATAGTTCAAATTTTAGAAGATATAAAGAGCAACCAAGAATGCATACATTATTGTAAATTTGAAATACTGTCATTATAGAATGAAATGGCTTGTCTTAGTTGGGATCTTTTTCAGGAAGGCACCTGGGTTCTCATTCTGCTTTAACTATTTGTCAAAACAATGTGATTATCTCCTTTTGAAAATAATTGGATATATACAGGGACTACCTGACTTACAATTTCATTTAGTGACTGTTTGAGGTTACAATAATACTGAAAAAAATAACTTATGACCATTTTCACACTTACAACCATTGCAGAATCCCCATGGTCATATGAACAAAATTCAGATGCTTGGCAACTGACTCAGGACAGTTGCAGTGTCCCGGGGTCATGTGATCAGCTTTTGTGATCTTGTGACAAGCAGAATCAATGGGGAAGCCAGATTCATTTAACAATTGTGTTACTAACTTAACAACTGCAATGATTCATTTAACAACAGTGGTAAGAAAGGTCGTAAAATGGGGCAAAATTAACTTAACAAATGTCTCACTTAACAACATAAATTTTGGGCTCAATTGTGATATGTTGAGGATTACCTATAGTATTATTGAAAGTTTCCTCTCTGAACTGTTTTGAGTGATATGTTGGTTGAGAATTGAGAATAATAACTCTTTTTCCCCTTAATATAGTAGCAGTCCCAAGTGTATTGTCGTATTGTGATAGTGATTTTATTATTTTGCAGGTCTCAATCAATTGCTGAAACAAGCATCTGTTCAGAAGGTGTATAATGGACTGCAGGGCTATTGAGACTCAGACAAATGGACTTTCTTGTGGATAAATGAAATAAGTACTGTAAAATGCAGTCTTTTCTGCTGGTCATTGTAGAACAAATGCAGAGGGTGGAGTAACCTCTGAAACCTCCTTTTTTACAATAGTAAGGATAATTCTGTGATGGATCAGAAGACAACAAAAAAAATTCCTTTATTCTGGATACAACTGGTGCTCTATTTGGAGCAATTAGGCTCCAGCAGTTGAGAGAGAGATGGTGTTTTTAACAGGATTAGCACACTGAAGTTCCGTTTTCAAATATATTTTGATGTTACTTTCCTTGTCACTCTTAATGAGTTTTCATAATTTTTTCATGGTTCCTTTATCTTGTATCATCTTGGTTTTGAGATGTTCTTTGGCTCATCTTGGAGTTACACCTATCCCTATGTTTCTGAGACAGATTTGAGGTATGAGCAGATAATAGCTACCTCTGCAAATTGCTGGCCTCTCTTCTGATTAAACTGCTAAGTGCTTCCTGTTATTTACAGTTGTAGAAGTGTAAGTGTTAAGTTTTGCCACCATCCAGAGGGGGTCTTTGCAAGTTAACACTTAGAAATGTTGAATGGAAGGAAACTGGTTTGAATGAACTGAGACCCTTTTTGTTAATTGCCTGTCATTGCACTTAGAAGAAAATGTGTTATGTTGCTTTTGTTCACTTAGATATGAGCTGCTGTTTTTTTTTTTTAACAGAGCTCTATATACATATTTTCTCTAATTTGCAGTTACAACATTTTAACTAGATAAGTAAGAATACTGGATTATAAATTTGTGGGAACCTTGGGCCAATTCATATTTTAAGTAACACATATGTTTGCAGAAGTACAAAGTATGGAATCTGAGTATTTGGAGTTTCCCAGATATTTTCAAATTACCCATATTGCAGTGTATGGTACTCATGCCTGTAAATATTGACATATTTTCAGTACATACAACAAATACACTGTAACTGCTCAACATGACTATAGGACCATTGGAAAAGGTATGGTTAGAAAGGCACATAGTTTCTATTTTTCCCAGTCTCTTGGCTAATAGGCACACCCATAACTGTCTCATGCAGACTTTTGTGTATTTTGCAGTATCATATTTATATATCTTTACTGAAAAGATGGCTGCAGTTTCTGACCCTGGATCAGCCTCTTATTCTCAAGAATGACCTAGCAGTAAATAATGTTTATTTCCTTGACTGAAAATGAAATTGCTTTATTTAATCTGGAAAACCAGCCCACTGATATTTACCAGCAGCATTGTATTATAATGGATGAAACTGACGAAGCCACTATATGAATAGGGAAGTAGAAAAGGCGAGCAGTGAAATAAATAGCCACAAACTATGCATAGATTGGAATAACTTTATAAAAAATATCCAGCCAATTATGCCATTCTTTTTTCTGTTTTAAGAACTATATTCTAAGTTCTACAAATGAAAGGAAACTTGATAGGTGAAATGCTTTTTTTTTTAAAATGACTATTTAAATATATGATTATGCCAGCTCATAACTGAAAACCCCAGGTCTAAATTCTGGCGAACAGCTAATAAAATCCTTAATTAAGTGAGGATTTTTGGAGGATCTTTAGAGCACTTAGAAGTGATGAACAGGCAGCAATTTTGCAATTGTTGGCTGGCTGCTCAGTGTTATAAGGATAAAATGCATGGAGTTATTATCTCATTTTCTTGATAAGCACTGTAATCCTAAGCATCCAAAAAAAATAGTGGAATCCTAATTTTTAGTAAATTTCTGAAGACATTCTGTAAAAGCCTCTTGAGAGAAGCATTATTTCTAGTTTGACCCAATTTAATTTAAAACATACAGTTGCTAATTTTGAATGCTTTTAAAGGTCCACAGGCTTATAAAGGTCCACAGGATTTGTCATCATAAATTGCCTTTGGAACTACAGAAGTATAGAAAGAGCCATCCAAAATCAACTGAGGTGTATCACATTGCCCTCAGTATATTTCCTTTGTTAAAGCTCTGTAATGTGATTTGATCAGGAATGCCTAAAATTTTCATACAACTTTAATTGTATCAGGATCTTTCAAAGATGAACATAGAAAAAAACAAAAAGAAATTCAGGCATTCTAGATTTTTACATTGTATTTGCCTGATGGATAAAGAAATAAAAGAGCATGCAACTCTGATTGTTAAATACCTCCCAAAAAAATGGGTATAATACCGTGCAAATTAAAACATTGCCAACAGAACATAATAAAATGCAACATGGTCACAATAAAAAACCAGCACAATATGTAAATAAACAGGTATTTACTGACACAGCATGATAAAAAAAAATATATATTCTAGTGTTTTCCTACACCATTTCTTCCCCTACAAATGCAGAGTTCCTTTTTTCCCCCAGATCAACCAAGCTTTGATGCATTGGTTATGACAGGCTTGTCGCCCGAGCCCAACATTGTGGCTGAGAAAGAGTGACTGCCCAGAGTCACCCAGCGGGCTTTCATGTCTAAGGCGGAACTAGAACTCAGTTTCCTGGTTTCTAACTTGGTGCCTTAAACAGTAGACCGAACTGGCTCTCAGCATGATAAAATATAATGCCATATGAAAACTGGCATATTGGGTTGAGTTGGATTGAAAGTGACTGACTCAGAGTGATGAATGAACTCTGTGGTCAGGTGGGAACTTGACCCTGGACCTTCTAGTCCAAAACCACCTACACCAGCTGAAGCTTCTTTAAAGGAGAAAAGACAACCATTTTTTCAGATAGATATAAGATTCCTATATTTCTCATAGTGATGGTCTGTTTCCCCTCACATTACGAGTCCTGCATGTTTCTCTTCCAATTGGCTCCACTGAGAAACCAAGAAAGCTGATGGTTCATTTGTCTCTCCGTGCTTCTGCTATCTCTTCCCACCAGTGCACAAGAACAGGCAAACGGCTAATCCCATTAGAGCAAGAGCACCGATGCTGATGCCTATCACTAGTGGAGTGTGTGAAGGTCCTTCACGTTGCCCTGCAAAAGGAAAGAGAAGATTTAGGATTGCTTTTAGGCAGGGGTTTTTTTTTTTAGTGGATGATGATGGAACTCATTTCAAATGCTATCTAAACAGAAGCCTTGCAGGAAGAAAATCCTAAAAGGAAGTGTCTAGTGATGATTTACTGTACAGAGATAGATTTTTTTTCCCAAGCTAGAACTATACCCTGGAAGACAAGCAACCACACATGCAATATTTATTTTGTACAATAGTTTGCCCTAGGTCAGCGGTTCTCAACCTATGGGTCGCGACCCCATTTGGGGTCGATCGACCATTTCACGGGGGTCGCCAAGCAAGGCTGTCCGCCATTTTTTTTGTCCGCCATTTTTTTCCCCTTTTCCGGCGGGTGCCTTACCTCCCTTGGGTTGGGCCAGCTGGTGGTCGGCCTGCTCCGTCTCTGCCGCTTGCCAGCTACGCCTCGGCCGGTGCAGGGGGCGGAACCATGCATGTGCGGCGCTCCCGGGAAGGGAAAGTCCTTGACGTATGACCGGTTGGGTAGTCCTCGACTTACGACCAGTTTAGTCCTCGACTTACGACTGGTTTAGTCCTCGACTTACGACCGGTTGGGGGTCGCGGCATTAAAAAGGTTGAGAACCACTGCCCTAGGTGATGGGATCACAGACCCTGTTCTGCCCGTCCTCACATCACCTTATGAAACACTTCCTTTTTAAATCTCCTCTAGTCCCTATTTGGGATAGAGTCAGTGCAGCTGGATGGAACTGAGCATTTACTGACTGGATGCCTTTCCTAAGGATCAGGTATTTTATTTTCCTGTTTCATTATTCATTTCTAAGGTTATTTCGGTACTGCAGAATTTTGCTCTTCAGTGTTATTGAGATGGCAGCGTCACTTTTATTGCATATCCTTTCCTCTTAGAATTAGTGAATAAGAAGAATTGACTGAGCCAGGATAATTTGTCAGGTTATCTATCTAGCCAAATGCTTCTCTGCAACTACCAATTGTTTCACATACCAGTACTAGCTTCTTTGTTGTTAGTATGCGCCCTTACAAAGTTGACACATGTTTCTTGTAGGAAGAACTGTAGATTGGTGGTTGTCTCTGGGAATTGATTCAGCTTCTTACTGGTATAATTGGCCACAAGAGTGTTAGACAAACCTTCCCAGTTATTACTATTTGTGTGAAATTTCAGGAAATCACTCCCATTCAGCCAAATCTTGTAGAAGCTTCTGGTGATATTTTCAGACACTACGCACCCCTTTGTGCAATATATGGATATGGGATCTGCAATCAAAATGTTTGTTAGAAAAATATATACTAAGTATTTATTTGAACATCATACACAAAGTAATGCAGCATAATAGAACAAATGAATCACTGAAACTGAGGCTTGCAAACATTCTTATACAATATGCATGTTTCCAATTGTTTTATGGTAACTTCAATAGAATCTATATATTTTTAATTTTTTTAAAGTGAAAATTACCAATTTCCAAAAAACTAAAAGTTAAATAAGTGAAAAAAGTGCAAAGAAATATAAAAAGGGGGGAAAGTTACAAAAGTGGCTTCCAATCTTCTATTTTACTTCCTTTTTAAAGGACTCTCTTAAACAGACTTTGTGGACATCTATTAGATAGTGTAACTCCTTATTTTTGCTGCCAGTGCTATGAATCATGGAGTTGGAAGTAACTTTACAAATTATTTAGTTCAATACTTTCCTCATTGTGGCATCTATTAGACTGGCTCTGACAGATGACCATTCAACTTCTATTTGGCCTTCAGCAAAGGAGAATTGTGGCAACAGTTCAGAAAATCAGGATTTCTAGCCTAAACCTCTTCCTTGTATGTAATTTTAACTCACTGGGTCTGATCCTCCCCTCTGGAACATTAGAGAATACATCCACTTGTATCTAATAATCCTTCATTTTTTAAAAAAACTACCATATCTTTCTTGGTTTCTGTAGGTCAAACATACTTGAATCCATTAATCATTCTTTATAAAGCTTCTTCCAGACTCTACCATCTTGGAAATCATCCCCTGAACCTGCTCCAATATGTTATTGCCCTTTTTGACCTTTAGGGCCCAAAAGTATAAGATCTTGACCATAGCCTGGATCTATTTTACAGGGACTCCTACCAAACAATATCCCCCACATTATACTTGGGCCTTTTCTTTTTCCTACCCAGATGCGGAACATTACGTTCTATTAAATTCCATTCTGTTTATTTCAGTGTACTATTCAAGCCTGAATCTTCCATCCCCCATAAAGTATTGGCCACACCTCCTTCCTTAGTACTGCAAATTTTGTAAGTATCCTCTCAACTCCCAAGTCAATAATAAAAAGTTGAACAGTATAGGGACATGGACAGACTTTACACTGCTGACTTCCCTCAAGCTGACATGCAGCCATAACTGGTACCCTCCAAAGTTCACCTAACTATAGTATGAGTATTTTATCATTTATGGAGAATACCTTGAGAAACTCTCAAAGTCTTTGATGAGTTCCAAATGCAGCATTGCTGCAACATCCTCCTCATCTAACATAGTAACTAACAAAAGAAACAACATTAATCTGCCATATTTTGTTTGCAACAAACCCATATTAGCTCCTGTTAGACATAGCATGGCTATCTAATGATCACAAGCATGTTCTTTATCAGTTCCATATCTCCGATGAAATAATTCCATTTATTTTCACTCTTAATAGACAACCCCTTTCAGATGTTAATTTGAAAATGTGAGCAATTCAGTTTAACAGAAAGAAGGGGTACAATGGATTGAGTGATAATACAAAATAGATGTGATAACATCACTTGTAAGGCTGGAATTTTTCAATTCTTTCATTATTTTTTGTTGCTAAGAAGTAAGGCTTTGCTTTTGAAATTGCTTTTAGAAATTATATTGCATACATTTCCCAACTCAAAATAGTGAAAATGATATTTTCATCAGTCATAAATGTTGGTGCTCAGCAATACCATCTTATTTGGCAAAAAGTCTGTTGCCTTAATATATACTCCCAACTATTGCCACCTTAAAAACTCCTTCATTACTCACAGGATATGATCTTTTCCTTAGAGAGTATCATAACCATTCCCTGGAAGCTCTGCAGGTATTTGTGCAGTTTGCTTTCCGTCTGTTCCCAGAGGTTTGGTGCCTCTAATGATAACAATTGGCTCACGTTCAGTTGTTCAATATCACCCTCCAAGCTATGGCTCAGTATCCCATCTAGGAAGGCATTGCCCACAAATTCCGCAGAGTTCTCTTTTGAAAAGTTGGCAGTCAATGTCATGATGAAGTTATGAGTTTCTGAGGGAAAAAAATGAGATAATCAAGCCAGTGGAAGCAATAGTTTTAAGCAGCGCTTTTTTTCTAAAAAAAAAAAAAAAAAGGTGCTGGAACTCACACATGTCATACAACCCGCCTTGCCTACCCTACAAGGTTCCATCCCAAAAAGATGCCGGAACTCTATGAGAAAAAAAGCCCTGATTTTAAGTCCATTCTTCCCAGTCTACTGCTTTTGGCTAGACAGGTGAGGGATAACAGGAGGATGGCTCAATCCTCACCTTCCCTCCCCTTAAAAAAGGAAAGGAAATCAGCCTGGCTGCTCTTTTTATCTCACTCTTTTTTCTCTCCCTTTGTTCAAAGGCATCCTGTAGTCTTAACTGAAAAAAGCAGAGGGATTAGTACAGGAAGTATTGCACATTCAGGAAGGAGGGGTTGCCTGCCTAATTTCCCCTTTGAGAAAATATTTCTCATAGCACTAACTGTGGCACTGATTGGATGACTGCCAAGGCACTATATGACCCAGACTGCCAGGCACCATTGTTTATGGTGGCCTCAACATTCTTCCTCTGGTGCAAGAAATGTGGCTTAAGAGGGAGAATAATCTATCGCTTCTGAGATGATCCACCATCCACCAGTGGCCAAGTCATTTTCCTGTTTTCCTGTCAATTTCTCTGGTTCACCTTATTTTTACTTGACCAATGTGTTGTATGAGGGGATACTTTTTGATAGCCAGAGCTATGCTTAATATTCTGGGGAAACCAAAGTTCCATGATAAGCAATATAATGATGCAATTGTATGAAGATTGTTTTTCTCCTTGATTTTGGGTCTGTATTTTTTTCATTTAAAAAACCATGTGAAGCTGATTTACACTATGGTTTTTATTTATTCTGTGCCTTAAAATATGCAAGATTGTGAAGATGGGAAAAAGACAAGCAATTGGCTCAACCATGCATCTGGGAGAAGAGAAACTGTTTTTGCAAGGCGCGTAGCCAATAATAAAACAGGAAATAGATTCAACATTGAGTCACTAACTCCTAAAAAACTGTGGGATATGGGTGCATTTGGAAGGCATGGATGTATATGGGGCATGTGCCTGTATATGAGAAGAAACTCCAAGCTTAAATAAGAAAAGCTCCCTGAAGTCTTCAGGCTCCATTAAAACTGGATACCAGCCTTATCTCATGGGATTTTTCCTTATTTTAGAACATGATAACTATTGCACAATATCCCAACCCTGAAGAATCTTTTTAGTTAATCATTTGCACAAATTTGTCCTGACTACTCCAAAAGGAATAGTCCTAAATTCATTCTATGCATGAGGCTGAGAATTATTACTAATCTTTTCCAATTTAGAGTTCTGCATCTAATACTGTCAATCTTGGAAGATAATAGAATTTTATCTCTAAATAAACATTTACATGATTGTAATATGGTTCTTTCGGTCTAGCACTAATTTCCAAATCATGACTGGGAGTTCAAAACAGATTATTTGTAAATTTCAAAATGTCATTAAAATATTTTTTACTGATTTGGATGAAGCATGAAATAAATGTACAGATAAAGTTTTGATCCACTCACTCTATTTCTGCACAAATGTACTTAGAAGTGTACAAATGTACTTCTACAGTTTTCAGTGGATACAGTCCCCAGCAAATGATATTTAGGATTACTGAATTAGTAAAATATTTTTAAAACCCAACATAAATAAAAATATATTTATTTTCTACCTAAACGATAGTAGGATTAGCCCCAGGCAAATAATTTTAAAGAGGCTATTCTATAACTTGGTATTATAGATGATCCACCATCAGGTGTATGAATTAGATCTGTGAAAATAAGTGGTTATGAATAAGAAAGAAAGATCCATGGATACGCATGTTAATCTTTCACAGCCAATATCACAGTGGTATAGACTAACATATTCTGCTACTTTTCACAGCTCACATTTATAGAGTGTTTAGCCAGCTTTATATTCACCCTTCTTGTTCCTTACTCAGAAACCTAGTTAAATCACAGAATACTCACTACTTCCCATTTTAAATCAAGACAACATGATTTTCCAAACTTACCTTCACCATATGCCCAATGATAGAGAGTCCAAGACTGGAGAAGAATTTGCAGAAGCAACATTCCCAATCAGGAGTCACTTATTTGCAAAACCAGGAACACTTCAGTGTTGTTAGTGAAGTAAGGTGTCTGGAAAGAAAACCTCGAAGTCTTTTATATGTCAAGCCAATATGTGTTAGTATCTCTGGGAACTACAAGCACCACCAGAAATCAGGGAGTTTCCTTTGCCAGGACTGGGCTGGAAGAGAGAGGGTACGGTTGGCTGGGAGGAGGCGGGTGGAGCATGTTTTCATCTTCCTATTTCCTCATGTTCAGCAAAGGAACTTTTTTCCTTGCCAGATCCGCCTCCTCCTGCTTCTCCCACAGCTGTGCAGGCTGTAGCTGGAAAATGCCTTTAAAATGCCAAGCATGACTCTGCTTTTGCCAAGTATAGTATTTAGGACTGAGAGACAAGGCAAACAAAACATGAGAAAAAGATCCAATCAAAATATCAGCAAAAAATAATATTCACAAAGGACAGAAAGAGTGCGTCTGCAGACAGTATAACCTGGATCATAGTGCCATTTGAAATTTCAAGTTTTGAGATTAGATATATAAAGATATTTTATTGCACACTACCCAAAAAGAGATATTCCAAGACTGCAGCATTGGAGAGACATATACTGTAGAATGTCTTGAGTCCAATATCTGAGACAAAATACAACCCAGGCAACAAATCCAATACTGTAACAGAAACAATTCCTACATCCTTATCCATTCGTTTCAGCCCTTATACAGTATACTGAATATATAGAGTGTGTCAATAGTTTGCCTAGCCACGTGGGCTGATACTGCTATTGTATGTCTATTCTACAAAGCCAGCCAGTATGAAACACAGGTAGTACTTTACTTATGACCACAATCGTTACTAAATGAGTCAGTTAAGTGAATTTTGCCCCATTTTTATGACCTTTCTTGCCACAGTTCTTAAATGAATAATTGTGATTGTTAAGTTAGTAACATGGTTATTAAGTGAATCCGGCTTTTCCATTGATTTTGCCTGGCAGAAGATCGCAAAAGATGATCATATGGCCTTGGGACACTGCAACCGTCATAAATATGAGTCAGTTGCCAAGCATGTCAGAGCATGCACAGTCTTATTGCACTGAGGTAACCCAGGAGTAAACACAATAAACAGTGGTTTGTATTAAATGGTGGTTTATCATACACTACAATATACACTAGGAACAAAATACATACATGTGGTGATTCAGCAAAGTCCAACACACAGCAATTACAGCAGGAAACAGATGAGAGAGCGACTCCAGCAAAGCCTTCCCTTTTATACTCAGACTCTTAAAGGGATACACACACCTGCTGAGTCATTCCTGTCATTGCATCGTGTACCTTACATTACATTACATTGTTACATAAGCTGTTTAGCCTTTAAATCAGAGCTTTCCAACCTTTTGGGCACCAGGGGCCGATTCTGTAGAGAGAGGTTTTTCCACGGACCGGAGGGTGCGTGGTTTTGTGTGCTGCCTGCATCTCGTGGATGGGGCTTTGCTTGTTTATGCAGACTGGTTGCTGGCATGCCACAGCCCGGTACTGGTCCACGGACCGGGGGTTAGGGACCCCTGCTTTAAATCATTATCCTGACAAAGCATCTGAACTTTAAAGCATCTGAACTTTGATCATGTGACCATGGGGATGCTGCAATGGTCATAAGCGTGAAAAATGGTAATCAGTCACTTTTTTCACTGCCTTTGTGACTTTGAATGGTTACTAAAGGAACTATTGTAAGTTGAGGACGACCTGTAGTGTTTAGGGTACTGGATCAGAGTGAGGAAGAGCATGTTTAAAAACCATTAAGCCATACACTACATGACAACAAACCACAGTAAAGATTATCATGAAATGGGAACTCAGCCAAAATGACACTATATGACTTGGTTTTGTAAGTGGGTTTGGTTAAAATCATAACTGTCCCAAAGTCTCCCTATAAGCTTTCGTGGCTAACTGTGGTTTAAAACATGGGAATCCCCAGTTCTAATCTAATATCTCCTAAGCATTATCTTATTCTGGTTCCCTTTATATGATTTTTGCTTGTTTTTAATCCCCTTTATTATTTTTTAAAAATAAATCAAGGCAAACATATCTAATATTCCTTCTTTCTATTATCCTCACAACAACAACTCTGTGAAGTCAGTTGGGCTGAGAGAAAGTGACTGGCCCAAAATTGCCTAGCTGGTATATATAATATTAATAGAATAGCAGACTTAGGCAATATAAAGTTGCTACTGGCAATATCTATTTAAATGCAGAACAGAAATATTACAACACCAAGAATTACTAAATGCATTCAAATGCTATAGCTGTTGCACGTGGAACTATTTGTAAGCAGCAAAGCTGCTTCATCCTGCCCTTTCTCTCACTTCTTTGCAGAAAACTGAACTGTGGCCTTAAAAGTCCTGCTGGCAGAAACCCACTGTGGGAAATTGGAATGAAACATTGCATCAAACCCCAAAAGCATAACATTGTAATTATGGGCAGAAGAAAAACAGATCATGTTACATTTCACAAAAGTTAGACATGCTTGGAATTTTAAGTTGCTTCTGTCTATGGACAAAACTACAAACAATCCCATATTTATAACATGCATATGCAGCCTATCTGAGTGGCAAGAAGAATTCTTTGCAGCATTTATTCAGTGTTCAGTTTCAACAGGAAAAAAAAGAAAGAATTGGCATATTTCTGAGAGAGAGAAAGAAACTGAGAACTCAGAACATAATCCTGCTCCCATCCAAATTCCTAGGAGAATGCATGGTGCCCCAGAATTCCCACAAAGAGCAGTATCTACCCTGAGCCTCCTCTTCAAGTCCAAATTAGTCCAGAGACGGAGAGTGTATAAAACTAAAAAAAAAAAAATGCTTCATACATGAAACAAAAATGTTGTATTCCAGAAGTTCTACTGAACTATTCTGAATGGGTCATAGTTTGCCAGAAATAAAATCCGGAATGTTTTTGTTGTATATGATTTCAACTAAAAACAAAACCCTCAGAGATAATTTTACATGGAAGAAAGGCAAGGCCGGTCCACGCCTCTGAATTTCTCCCCTTCTTTTCTTTTCAGCTTTCAATGATGTCCTTCCACCAGCCCTCCCTTCCTGCTGACCTTCTTAGCACTAGTCCTCTTTTTTTCCTCTGCAAACCTCAATCAGGCTGTCGCCAACATCCCAACCGAAAACTTGTAGTTCAAAGTATAAACTGTTTTATATAACTCTATTCCAGACTGATTTTTTTACTTATTTGTATCACCATTCTAGCTATTGTCTATCCACTGCAGGATGAAGGCCTCTTCTTCATGTTTTCAACCTATACAGTCCTAAGCTTTCTTTCGCCAATTGGGCCAATACTTGCTGATGTCATCAATCCATCTTGTTTTAGGTCTCTTTCGTGGATGCTTTTTATCCAGTGGGATCCATTCTATGACACTTTTGGTCCACCTGCCATCAGTTCTTCTTGCTATGTGACCAGCCCATTTCCATTTCAATTCTTTTACTCTCTTGATGATATCATATACTTTTGTTTGTTCTCTAATCCATGGGCAGATATTTCTATCTTGTCTTGTAATGCCAAGCATGTATCTTTCCATGGCTCTTTGCACCACTCATAGCTTTTGTATCAATTGTGAGGTTAGTGTCCATGTTTCACAGGCATCTGTTAGAACAGGTAGCACACACTGATTGAAAACCTCCCCCTATGCCTGAAAAGTTTTCGATCAACTTATTTGTATACATAGGTACTTCTCACACAACCTTCCCCTTGACTTTTCATGAGCTAAAAAATGGGTTATCCCACCTACCAGCATAATTGCTGTGCATATATGAAATGCGCATCTCCAGAACTTTAACTTTCAACTGTCTTGTCTCAGTGCCTGCGTTCACATTATTTTAGCCTAACATTTTGTATAAACCAACTGTGAATCCAGTCGCAAATCTCACTTACATTATTAATAGTTAAGTTAACCAAGAGTTTATTCTCTAAGCATAGCCTGAAAATTCCAATAACTTAAAACATCCATACTGATAATTCAAGAGTCAAATTTATAGATTTGGATTGGATTTAATGGAATCACCTTGACCACGCACAAGGCCATTATGTTTTTAGTAACTGATATTATTAAATAAATATAGGTCAGATAGAAGAGTCCCAGAGAACAATGAAATGACAAAAATGCTGACAACAGTCATCATGATGTCTATTCACTGTTTAGTCAAGATGTCTAAGAAAGATTAAAGAATTAGCTGAGCATAACAAGGTTTTACCCTCTTTTTTAAAAAAACAAACAAAAAACAAACCTCTCCTGTACTCTAATCCAGTTTTTTTATTCTTAATGAAGTTTCTGGCTGCTACTTTGAATATGGCTGGAGAGATTTGAGGAGGACGGTTGGGATTAAAGACTAGCGTTAAGATAGAAATATATGTTATTTTATATAAAACTTAGATGTATATTCAGAGATGAAGAACCGATTGTAAAATATGGTATAATTTGATAAGAATGTATATATTGGAATGTCACGTTATATCCAATGTTTTTTTTAATTGTATTATAAATAAAATTTTGTTATATATATAGATATAGATATATTTCCTGCTTGTAAAAGGATCACCTGTCCTTGAGGTTGCTCATTCAGTAGCAGCAGCAACATCTGGAGAGGGGAATTGTCAAAACAGGCAAGGTAGTGGATGAAAATCCCATCCCTTGTATACATGCACTGATGTCACTTGCATGTACAAAGAGAAGGAGACTAAACAATCCTGTTGCAGTCAATAACTTACCTATTTTTATTGTCTTAGGCTGCTTTTGCTACCATTTTCTCTTCATGTGCAAATATTTGGGAAGAGGTAGGAGGGATCTTATTTAATTATGGTGTGCTGTTACAAAACAATCAGGGAGAGAGAGAACAGGTCAGGGGTTTTGGAGAAATTATTTGCAGGGAGATATATGATGAGCAACTGAAATCTAGCTATTATAAAGAGTGGAGGGAAGACCAATGGCTGATCTCCCTTCCTTTCAGTCTACAATCTTATTAATGGTGTGACAGTGACAGAAGACCCTTTAATCTAAAGATTTAACTTTTTTTCATGCTAAATCAGTTTCTGACAAAGTATATATCTAGGATTTAATCCTGGACAAAACACTGATTTGGCATTTATCATAGATATCTGGATAAGAGTAGAGGGGAATTAA